TCTTTCCCTCACATTTTCTATTAACTTCAAAAAAGTGTATACGCTTATCAAACCAAATAAAAACAAAACTAACAACAAATCTTGGTCCTCTGAGCAGCCTATGGGGCTGGTGTACTCTCAGACACACTCCAATTTATAGATACCTCACCAGTACCAACTTGCCAAAGATGCATGGAATTTCTTGGAGAAAATTATAGAAGCGCAGGAATATTTTTTCCTTTGTTTTCAAATTCTAAACAAACTGTCATTGTCCATAACAGAAGAATCCCTGCCCCATAGATAAGAATTAAATACAGAAACACCTTATACTTACTGGTTTAGGCTGGGGTGCAGTACTGACTGAAAAGAAAAGAAAACCAAGTAAGAATCCTGGCATTCAGCAAAAATAAACTAATGCTCATATAAGACACCCTACCAGAATGAAAAATCTCTCTTGTACAGTTTATACTGTAGAGAAAATTACGTAAGCAACTTTGACAGAAACATATTTTTTAAAAAGAAATAATGGATATAAAAGTTGACTAACTTAAAATAAGTTTAAATAAATTAAATTCTTCAGACAGCATAAATGCAGACAGAGCCAATACGCCATTTCTGGTTTCCACAATTAATGCTGCTAAAATCCCATTCACACATACTGCTTAAAATAGAATATGATAGAAAACAACCCCCTCATCCCTACCCAGGATTCGCATCTAATTCTTCCCCTTATCACTCGTCAGTTTTAAATGAAGAGTGTCATCAAGAGCCATAGTAATTTGCTACATAGCATATCATGGATATTAGTTTAGCTTAGGTGAGAGGAAGAATTTTCGGTATCCCTTTAAAACTTTGTATAAATATATTTTATTAATTTTTTACAGAGAGGAAGGGAGGGGGATAGAGAGTTAGAAACATCGATGAGAGAGAAACATCGACCAGCTGCCTCCTGCATGCTCCCTACTGGGGATTAAAATTAAAATCTGAACTTCAAATGGAAATAATTACTGTAATCACAGTAGCCAATATTTATTTAGTACATATGTTATACGGCACAATGCCAACTGCTTTAACATGAAATCTAATCCCAATAACTCCTGCATGAGAAAATAACTAAGTCAAATGACTTACTCAAGGAAACCCAGCTGATGATGAAGCCAGGATTCAAAGTCTGTTCGCACCAGTGCTTAAACTTAAGGTTTTTTTAAAAATATATATTTTATTGATTTTTTACAGAGAGGAAGGGAGAGGGATAGAGAGTTAGAAATATCCATTAGAGAGAAACATGGATCAGCTGCCTCCTGCACACCCCCTACTGGGGATGTGCCTGCAACCAAGGTACATGCCCTTGACCAGAATAGAACCTGGGACCCTTCAGTCCG